TTAAATGTAAATGTATGCAATAATGCATCCTACGCTTGGCTACCTCTAATTGACCTTAGAGTAGTACATTTCCTTTGAGTAGTACATTTCCCTTCTCGCCTGGAAAAAATCCTTTCATGACATACAGCCAGTTGTAAGCCATTGCAGCTAATAAATGCCACTGTTTACTCGGTGTAATTTGATGGAGATTAAAGGAATAACATGCGTGCTAAAGATTGGTCTTACCTATATGGTTGTTAATCTATTAAGGCATATACACATTCTCATGTGAGATCATGCAGTTTGTGATTTTCTTAGGACAATATAAATCCGAGTTGATATAATTTCCTGCCAAAATGTTTTCACTGCAGTAACATTATTCAGTTGTTTATTTTGATGCTGTTCTTTAATAGGCAAATGATAAAAATATTCAATTGAGGCATCAACAGGTAATCATCAACACATGGTCATGCCAACAAAACCTCTAGGGAGAGTTCCAAATAGGCCCTCAAATTTATCCACTGCTGCTCAGATTAATTTGCCGCTTTGAAATTTCCGATTTGATATTTTAAGATTCATCACCATGAACGGATTTGTCTATGTAAAGTAAGTTTAAAAACAGTAAACCTCCATGACAGAATCATAGATTTTAAAATCAGCAACAACCCTTAATAAGATATTTCTCGAAAGTGCAGGCTGAAATAGCAGCGCTAACTTAATATGGATAATGACTTTAGTTTTATCCTTTATCCTATAACTAGTATTTTGCTCTTTCTTCCGCAAGATTCTGACATTCTATTTAAAATAATAGAATTCTTGGAAGTATCATTGAAAATCTTAGTTCCTTTAGACCTTACTTGATGAATTCTTATCAAACCAATAATCTCATACTCATGGCAAACTGATGGCAAACCCATGGTACCCTGACTGAAGCATTTTTAATACCTTCAGATGAATTAATCTGAAAATCTGTTTCAATGGAAGTCGTAGTTGAAAAAGCGACAAGTCCACGCACTGTTTAGCATTGTGGTCTCTTTTGCTTAGAGCTGGAAAAGAGAGCTTGTATCTGCAGGCTGGCTGGTGTTCCATATGAAGCATAGTGTTGCAGGTGATGCAGGTTTTGCAGTCTAGAATTAAGAATTTAAAGTTATGTAATAAAAAAATATATATAAGTGTAATCTTTCTACAACTTTTGTATTTCTGGTCATGTCAATTTCTTTGATTGGAAAATAAATAAAGTAGAATGATAAAAAAATATTCATTAACAAATATTGACACAAAAGCAGTTTAAGTTAATTAAAGATAAAAAAATATTTGTTTAGGCTTTGGAACAAAATAATTCTCATAACCACGTGTGTATGTTTTATACAATAGATTGGGTAAGATCGGAATTAGATCTCTAACAAAGACTATGTGAACTGCATTTACTTTTTTAAAATATTCTTTCTGATTAATTGCTGTAGGGGCATGGCAATGATGACATGCACAAAACATACTAATAAGATCAATTATGTTAACTGATACCGCTTACCTTTTCAACTTGAAGAGATGGACAAGACCTTTGATATGAAAGTCCAGATGCCATGAGTTTGCAGTTCATGTAGATGCCACAGCTCTTATTACTTTGCAACCTAGGATTTAAAACATAGATATACATATATCATAAAGAGAGCAAAGAAATTGCTCAGAAAAATATTTGTCACTTTACATAATCTATTAAATGTGTTCAACTGAACAAAAGTATATTTTCATCAGTGATTCTAATTGTAATTAAAATGTTTTTGGTCCAACCCATATACTTAATGATATCAAGTTGGAAGATGGACTGTGTAATGTGGAACTTTTTTTTTTAATACACATTTTGCACTTATCTTCATTTTGATTTTGATCCCAAACATTTCCTTAAAATCTTGATCTTGAACTTGAGCTTTTATTTGTAATCTTCATCTACAACAGTTTTTTAATATTGGATAGTCTTATCTTGAACCAAGCCCTCTTGTACACAGATTGATTAAAATTACCCTCTGGTGAATAGAAGGAAAATAGATACCTTTACTGGTATATAACAAACAGATAGAAGCTTACATCACGCAAATGTTCATTGAGTTCAATCACTTGTTATATTTTAAATGCTGCCCTTTGCTATGTACAATATTGATCAAATTCTGGCTGATCTAGCAATATATATATGTTTTTAACCTCATGGTTGGCTTCTTCTTAGATTAAGAACACAGAAATTTCAGTTTGTTAATGTGAAATCCAATATCCGGTATCTTAACCCTTTATCATAAATGAATATCAAGACTATAAACTGAACAACAAGTTAATTAATTTATTTCTATGTAGGTGTAGAAGAAGAAAAGAAGAAAAAACCTCACCCTTATTTAATGTCGGTGTTCAAACTTTGCTAAGATAAGAACATCAAAAGGCCACTTAGCATATTAGGATCTTGCAGTACACCTTGAATCAGATTACATTATGAAGATCTAAACCCTTTCCTCGGGGCAGGGGTAGGATGAAAAGTTAGTTCAAGACGTTGAAGACAAGGTTGGAGAGAAGTCTTAGACTAGAGTAGAGGTCTATTTCTTGGATATGACTGAAGAGCCCAGGTCCACTCCATCTCTGACTTTGAAAGAAAAATGAAATGAAGAAAAACAAATATAAAGCTCGATACATGAGCCTACTACTGTACATAGCATTCTACATCTAGTCTAAAATCTATTACTTGTTACTGTTAAGTAAATACAAGTAGAACTAGTCTAGATCTAGGCCTAAGGGACTAACTCTAAATTCTAACGTATCTTAGTTAATCCTGCACAAAAGGTGCAGTGTAGAGACTCGGTCTAGATCTACATCTACCCTATATCTACTATCTAGCAATATCATGTAGGCCTAGACTAAATCTACATTAAGGTCTTATTCTTAATCAAGATCTAACTTGGTCTTGGGTCTGAAAATGTGGAGACCAATTTTCTTCCATAATATCAACATTAAACAAGGGCCACCGCACTGCCTACCGGCAAAAAACAAAGTAGAGTCTAGAGTCTAGGCCTAGACTTGAGTCTAGATTTGGAATCTAAGTTCTAAACTAGCCTAGATCTAGTCTCAATCTCCAATTATAAGCACTGCCACTAAATGTATCAGCAACCATACACTGCGATGACTCCTAAAGCCGTGGTGGACTTTTTTGTTATCAAATACAAGAATAAACTATATTTCTTGATGAATTTGGACCTGTCCTAACCACTCCAGCAAAGCATAGAGAGCCAATGCTAATACGTATTGACCTTTAGCACTGCATACTTTCCGAGAGGCAGGTATTATGCACACATACACACACCACACACTATTGCATTGACTGCAGACAATAGCACCGATGTGGCTGATCGGTAAATTTGACACTAGATCCTAGACTTACAATTTTAATTTTTAAATTATTCTTTTTAACATCAGTAAGTTGAAAAAATTATATTTTATTGCTATTTAGGTGTCATTAATTGTCACTAAAGTACTGATTTTGAGTGAAATCAGTTGGGTTTTGTACAGTGGTGTTTTGAAATGTTGAGAATTAATTGTCCTAACCAAATATCCAACGTCATTAGACAAGTACAGTTGGACATGCATGCCATGAATGGGACGGAAATGCATGAACCGGTGCAATTCGCCCATTCTTACTATCTTAGCTCAGTTCAGTTGGGGAATACTAGACCCTATTATTACTAGTATTAGACCTAGTTGATATTTATTTCGAATATAGTTCGGTTAAACATGAGAAGAATACTTTCCTTCTACCAAAATAACAATTTGTTATCAACAGAATGAATATTTTAGAAGAAAAATGGAATTTACTTACTTTTTGAGGACCTCTCTTGCAGTAGTTTAGCGACGCAATGTTGTGGTCGACGATTGACCTAACATCGACTAGTCTAGCCTTGATCACAGAGCCCTTTACATTTAACCAAACATTTATCAACATCGATTTTAGCCTAAACTTGATTCAATGAAACAGCTCACGAGCATCAGTTTTAAGCCAAAAGTGATTCAGCCTTTAATAAAAATATATATTTTCAAAGATATTTAAAATCGAAATTAATTTTAAGTGATGAGTTACATGATCACCCTCCGGAGGGGGGGGGGGGGGGGGGTGTGAATCGTGAAAACTAGTCATTTCCCCTAGATTGGCATTGTTTTAACTTTACAAAATCACAAATTATGAGTCGAATTATGGGCGAAAATGATAATCGTAATGATTATAATGATAATAATAATTATTCATGATAATGACAATTCATTGTATAAGTAGGCCTAGTATAAGGATATGGTTTGAATGTTAGATCAATAGGACCCCGGTACATGTAATTACATTAATTTAGTTTCCGACGGTGTATAATATTAATAATACATTCAACTGCATACAACTTTTAATTTGTATTACAAGCATTCAAATTCTATTCATTGCTACTGTAAAGTGTACATTAACAATTCTAAAATAACAATTGAGAGCGATAATCAAACAAAACCCATCCTAACTTTCAGTCAAACATCGTCTTGGAAGTTAACACCCACGTTTTAACCTTTGCATCCCTTCACGCATTCGTATCATTATGCTTTTTCAGGAAAGACTAACTAACAGGATCTTCTAGTAGGATTTTAATCTATTTTAAACAAGATTTGAACAAGAACCTACCACAGCTTTGACATCGTCTTCACATGTCTGCAGCACTTGATGAGGTAAACCAAGTCTTCCTCATCTGAGCACTTCACCCAGTCCAGATCTAGCCGCTGCAGGTTCTTGGTTTGTTCTCTGATCAGTAGACCCAGTCCTCTCATCGTCTCTCTCGATACACGCCTCTTCTCTGATGGGAGTGTGTACTGTGCTGTAAGGTTGATGTGTGTGAGCTGCTGTCCTCCGGTCCGACGAAGACATGCCGTGATCTGAGGTATGTCTCTCTCTGCATCATCGATAGTGATATCGATATCCCTCAAGCCAGGGAGCGATGAGAGCAGACCTTCGTAGCTTTGTGACGTCACTCTCTTGGTTGATAGCTTTGTGACGGATGGAAGCTCATGAGGAGATGGGGGGAAACTGAGAGAGGAGTCTGAGATGCTGAGCTGGCTCAGTGAGGTGAAGGATCTGAGGCAGGACCACAACGGTTTGGTTATCTCAGTAGATAGCTGGCAGTCATTGATTTCCAACGTGTCAATCTATGATGGCATACAGAAAGAATATAATATAATAATTAGAAAACTATAAGTAGTAATAAATTTCATGAAAGAAACATATCGTTTAAGAATTTGAGAGGAAAGAAATGGCATCCGGGAACGGCATTGACAAAAACTTCATAGAATCCTAATCATCTGATCTCATCGATCGACACGCACTAAGAACTAGAATTATTTACCAATCTTAGTTGATTTATTAGGTACAATCTTTTGGTTAATTTCATTACTTATTTATTTTTCAAAATAAAATAGGCAAAATGTACACTAAATGGGAAATGATACCTACTGTATACATTTTTGTAACCGTATTTAGTTCCTTCCCACAACTTTGTTAGAATTATAATTGTAATATACTATACGGGGCCTATAGCTAACAAGCTATGCTTTCACATTAGGCCCCTTAATATCCTTATTTCCGATTTGTAATTAGTTCTTAATTAATAAATAACTACTAACAAACCAAAGTCAATCATTACATTTGATGTACTTATTTTTTTGCGAATACCTGTGTAGGGTAAAATTTAATTATATTTCTAACATAACAAATCTGACAATTCAAAAAGTAAAGTGTATATATTAATGCAGACCAAACTGAAATAAATTCATTGTTTCAAAAAATATTATTTCTGATAATCCAACTCCCTATTCGGTAGGAAGTGTGAAATACTATCTTAAATATTAAGAAACGAATAAGGCGTATGGACATGTACAATTAGAGCATACTTACTTCCAATACATGTTCATTGGAGTTTAGCGACCCATAAAACCTATATAATTTCGAAGAGAGATGAAGAAGTGGGGGGAAACAAGGAGCCAATTTAAACATTTGTGTATAACAAATTACGTAATTGAACCGATTTACATTTTTCCAAAGTCAAACAATTTTCTGCTAAGGCTAAAATCATTAATGATCAGATGATTTAGTTATTTGTTTCTTTAAAAGCTTTATTTTTTTATATTATCTGCTTTGACATCTTCTTCAAAACGTTGAGAATGATGTGTATTTATTAATGATGATATTTTGTACAGCCTTGTGACTGAAAGCATGTTCTTATTACCACTGTATTGGAATAAATAAAACAAAAGTAAAACCTTACATGGCCTTTGTTTTAACATAACACCAGTATCATATTTGGTACTCCTTTATCCAAGTTAAATCGGCTTCATGTGGATACCTTGGTAATTAATGATCTGGTTTAACACATCAACCTAGCCAATGCAATAAAAGGCCTATTTTAATGCCGAACGAGGAAAAAATAGGGGGGGGGGGGAAACAAACTTGCAATCACTTTTACTTGGCACAACAGTTACTCACTGTTCAACATACAGACTAGCTGACATTAAACGCGTTGAAGACTGGACCACATCGAACACTGCATCCTCGAGTCCGGAAACAACTCCGGATAATATCGCCTGACATTCTGTGATAAGAAGACCCAGTCCTCTCATCCTCTTTCTCGACATGCTTGATACATTCTCCTCTAATTGGCGAGAAGAAAGGTTGATGCATGTGAGATGCTGTCCAGTCAGATGTTGACGTAGACTAGTCTTGATCTGAGATATGTTTTCTGTCTTTTCATCTCCGAAAGTGATATCGATCTCTTTCAAGCGAGGTACCGATGACAGCACTCCTTCGTAGCTTTGTGACGTCATTCTCTCGGCTGATAGCCTTGTGATGGATTGAAGCTTCGGAGGAGATGAAGGGAAACTGAGAGAGGAGTCTGAGATGTTGAGAGTATCTAGCATCGAAAATGATCCCAGGCAGGACCATAGTCCACTCGTCACGTCGGTGGTTAAAGTAGATCCCTCGAACTTTACTGTCCTAACCTAATGTTAAGACAGAGAGAGAGAGAGAGAGAGCTAGAGTTAAAGAACTAGAATTAAAGACAGAGTGTACTAATGAAATAACATCAATTAGTTCACCTCTTGTCTTTTGTGGTAGTCATTAAAGCAATCATGACTGTAGCCTGATGTCATCTCGGAATATTATCCGGTAGGTAATGGGAGCGCCCTACCCTACTCCTCTTCTTCTATCTTGAATATATTATAGCTCATTAGTTTTACAGAGGCTACATGCTTATATTGACTCTCCCTTGTCACTTGTATGGTGGTATGGTATTTATTGAAACATGCATCGCAGTAACATATACTGAATTGCACATGGATATACATTGCATTTTAAAAACGAGAGTACAATTTAAAACAGTATCATTTACATAATTATAAGTACACGTATTATGTCACATAAAGAAAAGAGGTTAAAAATGGAAAGGGAGAGAGAGAGAGAGAGAGGAGAGAGGGAGATGAGGAGAGAGGGGAGGAAAGTAAGAAAAAAGAAAGAAAAGATAAGAGACCGAGAGATATAGTGAAGAAAGAGAAAGAGCAGGAAAGATAGAAAGATGGAGAAAGAGAGAAAAAGAGAGAGATAGAGGAAGGAGAGAGAGCGGCAAGAGGTAAAGAAGGGGGAGGAGAGAAGGGGAAACTCGCCAACAATTAAAAATTACATACAAATTGACGATAAAAAGATAAAAGTATGCATTGCAACATTGACATTACGAATAGTATTAATAAGAAGAACAAAAATCTGACTGACATGAGCGCTATACAAGAACCCACTATTATTATTATTATTATTATGGCTCACCGAAAAATCTTTTGGTAAGTTGTAAAATGTATAAATGAGAATGTTTTCTTTTTTAACGCAGATGGTAGTAAAAACATTTTAACAAGTATAATAACTTGCTCTACATGAATATGACTTATTTCAAAAAAACTTTTTTGTTGTTGTATTTTTTAATTTATTGTTTATGTTTAATATGCAGTACCTTGATTGAGGCCGTAGTTGAGCAAACATAGATTAATAATGAAAGTGAATCATAACTATTGATCGTTATATCACATAGTAGCCTATTATTTTTCAAGATGCAGTTAATTATGAACCAAAATAAATTACACACAAATATTAGTTCTTTGACTGATAGTTACAGCAGAGAAATGAAAACTTAGACAATCTTTATGAAATGATTATTGTATACACATTTTGTCAAAGGAAAAATCGCATACCTCAAGTTTAAGTTGCTTCGGAAGATTTCGCATCCCAACGACGGTGTAGACAGTCGGTGACTTTAGAACAATACTCTCTGCATTCACACATCTTTGAACCAACGAAGACACATTTCGTTCAGTACCTGTGGTCTCTGATGAGCAGTCAAGGAGAATGCGATATCGCTCGCTCTCATCCAAAAAGCTGCTATTAAGGAGCGCTTTCATTATCCGTATACAGAGGCTGTTGTCCGTGCCAGCAGTGAATCGGATAAGATTCTCGTAGTCACCGATGTTTGCTTTCATCTTGCGCAGTACTCTATCCAATTTGGAAATCTTCAATGGTAACAGGAAGCGGCTTGTTTGATCAGCGAGAAATTTCCCAGCCGAGTGTTCTTGGGCGAGTTTGTGATAAAACTCAATGGTAGTGGACGTGGTCTCGATGGACTGAGGAAGGCATGTGATGTTAACAGTCGTCTTGGATAATATTCCAAGCCTACATGCCATATCAAGGGTTGCGGGAACTTTATGGAAATCATGAGGCGTGAAGACTAGTTTTTTAGCATCGTCGAGCAGTCCAGTAAGGGCAACTTCGCCTAATTGATGAATTATTTCCTTTAACTTTTTTGGTGTGATTTTCACACTTGACTTCGATCGTTCGTTTGCATAGTGCATTAGAAAAACATTCACCTTGTCCAGCAATTCTGTTTGAGTTGTAGTACCACTGTCCAGTAGGCCCTCACTCCATACGTGACAGATCATGAGACAAAATAAGGGTGTCTTGACAAGTTCATCAATAAGTGGTTGTTCATCAAGGTAATCCTTCAGACTTTGTCCCTTACAAGGATTCGAAGTCGAAGCAAAGAACTTGTTGATGTACTCACATGAGCTCTCTCGCGAGAATCCTTCGATCCACATCTTTGTGTATACCCTTGGAAGATCATCTTGATCGAAGAAGTTCTCTAGGTGAGGGCGTGTTGTTACAAGGACTCGACACTCTGGAAATTCCTCCAAACAGATGACCTTGATAATATTGCTCTCTGAGCTTCGCTGTGAAGAAGAAATACCCGCATATTCATCTAGTCCGTCTAGTATTATGTGGCAGATGCCCTGATTCTTTCTGATGAAACTCTCCAGACCCTCTGGCGTGAGATCATGAACATCACTCAAAAGCTGTGATTTGATGGCTTCTCCGATCGATGTAAGCTGACTTGTGTTTCGGAATTTCACAACAAACAACAGTGGCAGATGTTCTAATGCTGACCCCCTTTCTCTATGAACCCAGTCATAAGCCATCTTAGCAACAGCCGTGGTCTTCCCTCGTCCAGCCGGGGCCGAAATGAGGATTCGTGCCGGCAGTTTGCCGTTTACTTTCGTTGAAAATATTTCAGCAACAGAATTCTGGAGTATTTCCTTCTTTTTCGTGTCTTTTCCACGACCGTCCTTCTTCACCATTGTGACAACCGTGTGCATATCTTCGAACTCAGCATAGTCATTGCGATCCCATGGCTTCATTTGAATTTTGCACAGTTGATCTAGATACTTGTTCTCCAACTTTTTGCGACATTGCTGAACAGTCAAGGATTCCGAGATCTTCTCACTGTAGATATCTGAAACGATACAAGCATATAAAACAAAATGTCTTATTGCACTCCTGCAATATCAGCCCCTTCCCTTTCCGACCTAGTAGGGTTCCGTTATTAATTAGTTCTTGTTCGAATACATCAATTTTCATTGTTCCGATGTTTTTCCTCTTCCCCATGAAGAAACGGGCTGGAAACACGCTTAAAGGAAAACTCCAACATTAATGGCAAATTGCTCTGACATGAAGCAGAACACAAATAGAGAGCCTGTCTGGCGAAATTTTAAACGAAATAGGACAAACAATAAAAGCTTTTTTATTTTTGAACAGTTGCAATCGCTATACGTAAATGACGAAAGGAAACTTCAAATTGGCCGAATCGGTAATGTTACCGGATGTATATTGGCGGACATCTCTCCCATTTGTTTTAACACACGGAATGACTAAAATGTCAATTTGTCGAAATGTGTTACTCGGGAGTATCTTCCATGCTAAAAGGAGATATAATATATATGCTATCCATATTATATTTTTGGTAGTACACCAAGGGGAAAGGTTTCTCTAATTGTATTCCGCTTTTACACAAATTAACTCGTTACAAAATGTGAACTGCCCTTAAGTTAGTCGGGAAATATCTCTTCAAATCGATGTGAAAATTACAACAAGTTTAAGATCCTTTTGAACTTGATTTTTCTAACATAATTATATATTCAAAAGATTTTTTTTGTATTTATTTTTTACAAAATTCAATTTACAAGTATGTTATTTTTTATTGAAGCCGGGTGCTTTCTTCCCAACTGTTAACATCTTGGGATTCATACTATTTATTAGTTATACTTATTATGGATAGAAAGATAAACCGATGAGCAAACAGTGGATGAAGGAACTTGAAATGAACCGACCCTGTCCTTTAACAACCTCATACATTGCGTATTAAAAATTTGTGCGCAACTTTGGTAGCTTCTAACTAAAAATTATAAACATATTTGACCTTGAATCATATACGGTAAATGGTAATTAATACCATATTCGTCATTGTGCTTCGACGGATGTTTGAGCAGCAGGCTTTTCAAAAAGTATTGTCAAAATCCACATGTACCAAATTTGGGCTGAGGCATGAATGTAGGTCAAAAACCATTATGTGTGTGTTTAATACCTCAGTTTAAAAAAAAACAGTTCCTTACTTATTTACATTGACTGATAAGCAGTGGAAATGAAAAAAAGTATTAATATCTAATCGAACCCAATAAAATACGGAATTCAAATTAAATTTATGATGCTATCTTCGTTATGATATTACAATCTTGTCTTCATTGCATCCCTTGTTTTAGACGATCCTTTGCATTGAGTGATAGAACATGGATACATTTTATATGGGATGTTTATTTTATGAAAGTCTACTGTCAATTTCTGTAATACTTATCATCGTAAAAAGGGTTTTTATTGCATTTGGGTTTAGCAATCTTTCATTTGCTACTTGTAGAATGGCGTAGCGGACAAGTTGGCAGAGATAACTTAGCTATCATGAGATATGAAGTTAGTAGACCGAAGAAGCGCATGCAATATGGTTTGACCTACATTCGATCCATCATGCCAAACTTGGTATGATTTTGACAACACTTTTCAAGGACCCTGGTGCTCAGTCACCCGTGGACTAAATAATATGAATAGGGTATCATTGGACAGAAACAAGTTACTTAACATCATAAATTAGATTTCATGGATATATTCTATTTTCATGTTTTCAATTTATTTGTAAAGGTATAAGAGGTGATTTAAAGCACTCTGCATGGCACTATTAGACCCACCTGGAATAATCGGTGTCCTCTTGAGATATGCACTAGCAAGCATGACCAGCTCAGCGTCAATGAGAGCTTGTTTCAGTCTGATATGCTGGTCGCAGGGCTCCACGGTCTGTCTCCAGTCAAACAGCATGTCACGTGTTCCCTTGCAAGTCACCCGTCCTTCTATCCTATTGGTCTCTGTGTATCTATTGATGTCTGCCACCGTGAATCCGAGTGTCCGTCCTAAGGCCTCCATCTGCTCGCCCGTCTCGATGTCTTCAGCCAGCTTGAAAAGAAGATCATCGGCAATACCTCCATGTGCCGCCATACCTATGGGGAAAATAAAAAAAAAGGAGAATAAAACTTAAAATATTATTATGAACGTACATTATATTAATTGGACAGTAAATAAATTCAGTATTCCAACAGGTCATGTATAAATCCAGATTATTGTCGCTTTAAAATTTGCCCGTTTACATTCATTTAAAGAGCCACGCCTAGCTTCAAAGAATCGGAGCAGCTATGTGTAGTAACAGGTACCCTACTTGTTAGTCGGGACAGGGGGCCACAATGCCAAACATTTCATACGAATGAATTGCGCCTTAATTAACATTACGGTCGTGCTTGTTTCCAATAATATAAATTGCCCCTTATATTGATAAGTCAGACTCTTTTCACGCCTAAACGTTAGCCCCTTTAAACTACCAATCTACTCATTTTGCTAAAAGAGGAACCTTCGAAGCTATACATTATCATCCTTTAATACCTATGCCTTTTTTAAAGTTAAAATAATGTCAAGGTACTAATCGTTTTCCATTTTGTTAAACCCTATCTAGCCCGGGGAGGGGGGTAAGAAGCCCCCCCCCCCCCTCGACATTTTTCGCGATAATTTGTTAACGCAAAATAACTTGCACTGAAATGTTGTGACTTTTTTATTTCGAGTCTTGCGCATCTTTTGAAAAAAAATTGTCGAAAATCGAACCTACCATTACAAAGTCACGTGTCCTTTTGTCTTTGCATGTCAGCCCGAAAATCGCTCATTTTTGTGATTTATGTACAAAGCATATGGAAATCTTATTTTTCAAATAAAGAGATAAAACATTGGTTATTTGGTCTTGTTTATAGTTTAGGTGTTTAATTTGGGGTCAAAATAGTTGAATTATAGTTGGAAATGAAATAAAACAACTAAAAACAATAAAATACATAAGTTAAAAAAACAGAGAAATACATAAGAAATTATCAAAACAATAGATAACATAAGGAATAACCTGGCTCTTCCAATTTTGTTGGCTGTATTATTATCCCAAATGGTCTAAATAATATATGTGGTGAAAATTAATGTTTAAATATGAAGAATATATGATTTATGGATAAAAATGTGAATGTTATTACCATATTTGCATAAATTACCATAAATATGCAAATGAGTGAATTTTTCAACAAAAAATGGAATTACCATAGTTTTCTATACACTTCACTTTATATGCATGCAATTTTTTGCGGTGATCGGTCGTTTCACGGTCGAGATCATAGAAAGGGGGGCCTTAGAAGCCCCCCCCCCCTACCCCCACCCCCCCCCCCCCCCCCTCGGCCGGGCTATGCAGTTTCAAAATAGCCCGGGCTATATAGGGTTAAGAACGTAAAAGTGTACGCAGTGAAGGACAAATTAAGGCAACAACGCGGGACATGTCAATCGCGTTACAAAGAGACAAAATCACAATTCCTGCCAAGCCAAGTTGTTTTGCCACGTTTCTCTCCCTAAAACAAATTATTTCTCATAACCTCCGTCACATTTCCTTCTACTTCAAAGCAACTGAGGGCATTTTTATCGACTTTCCCTGAAGCAACCTCGCCACGCTTACTGGGAATCGATATAAATGATGCAACCTTAAAGCTAATGTTCATTCTTTCATGATATTATGTTCAAACCCCATTGATATTTATCTTATACAATTCAAACCCAAATGAGCCATAATACAAACATGAAAAGCGTTATGCTGAAGCAGTATCTTGGATTACGTGATGAAATAATCTTGACGATGATTCTTTTAACTATGTATTGATTAAAATATTATACAAATAATTCATGTTTATGGGTGCAATAGTGCCAATATGTTCATGAGTTGAAAGATTAACATTCTATTCAATGAGGCGTCAGCCGAGTTGAATAGAATTAACGTAAATTTTTCAACGAATGAAAATATTCCCACTATTGAACGAATGAAACACATTCATTATTTGTTTTATACAACATCGAAGAAAATCCAATAGAACGTTTATCAACAAATTATGCTTTACTCCTTATATTAAAGATAAATTAAAGTGGGGGTCAATTAGAAATTTCAGTTACAATGGCTGTTCTTGGCACACCAGAGGTCAAGCTCAGACGAGACACGGATTGCAAAAGAACAAACACAGACTCGCAAATATAGCAATCGACATTTCAGTCTTTCCCCTTTTTAATCGAATAAGATGCATACTTCGGCGCAACACATGACAAAACCATGATTTAAAACAATCTTCAATTTTTTTAGACAATACGTTCAGTCATTGGCAACCAATGGCCAGAGTGCTTTGAGAACTCGTGTGATGTGACTGTGTTTGTTGGAGATGGTCACTATACTATACGAGGAGCAGCATTCTGTAATCTTGTTATCTAATACACGCAAGTTCTGAGGTAAGTTGAACAAATGAAATCAAAGCATGTGCGTTTTTCTCTGTGGCAAAAGATACAGACAATAAAATGTGTGTTTTTCTCGCACGCGTCACTAGCTTCCCAAAATCGAAACATGGTAATTTCGGTAGACAAGGTGCCCGAATATATGTAAGCAACACGGTACTTGGATTTACATTGTCATAATTGTCCTATATAGGTAATATTGATGTTTAAATTACATTTCTTCCTTTCTTAGGGGGGGGGGGGGGGTGCCCAAATTTGAAATTATGGGTCCAAAAAAACAACGACTCGCAACGACTCAGCCAACCGCTGAATAAGCGGGGGGGGGGGGGGGGGGTTGATAAGAGGACACTTTTTTAGGGGGGGGGGGGGGGGGTCCCAAAAAATCGCAACGGCTCAGCCAGCCGCTTATTAAGCGGAGGGAGGGAGGGGGGTAAGATGACATATATTTAAGTTCATCTATAAGGATTTTTTTGTTTTAATAAAAAAAAAGGGTTCTCCCCATAAACATACACAAAACATACACATAAAACAACTCAAGGGGGGGGGGGGGTTTAACCCTACTCCCCCCCCCCTGCGAACGCGCCTGTGCGAGCCAAATACTGGTGCGTAATGTTGACCATGCATATACGTAATGGGGAGGGGGTGCAGGAAGGGGCGACGTTTCATTAAATTATTAGAGAAAGAAGACGATTCGTTGTACCGTTCTCGAAAATAATCCTCGTCTGAATACATTCCCCCCCCCTCCCGCGCGAAACGCGGAAGCTATTACGTTTCATTAAATCATTAGAGAAAAAAGACGATTCGTTGTACCGTTCTCGACTCTTATTCCTCGTCTCAATTCAGTCCCCCCCCCCTCCCGTGCAAAGCGCGGAAGCTTTTTACGTTTCATTAAATCATTAGAGAAAGAAGACGATTCGTATTACCATGCTCGACTCTTAACCCTTGTCTCAATTCAGTTCCCCCCTCCCGTTATTATAACATTATTTAAGAAAAAGACGATTCGCTGTAACATTCTCTTTTCTTAATCCTTGTCTCAGTTCAGTCCCCCCCCCCCCCTCCTGCGCGAAGGCTTTGACATTTCATTAAATTATTAGAGAAAGAAGACAATCGTTGTACCGTTTTCGACTCTTAATCCTTGTCTGGATTTAAAAAAAAAAAAGTTTTTTGTCTGCTCCTTTTTCTTCCTACGTCCTCTTCCTTTTTTATCCTCATTTGTTTTGGCCGGCTTTTTTTTGGGGGGGGCGCCCCCACCGCCCCCTGGCTACGCGCCTGCGGTCAGATGAACATATTTTGATACCTTGTCCGCCCCCGGAAACTCAGGGGTTTAAGGCAATAAATTACGGTCAGATAAGCATTCAGGGTCCCGCCTTAGGACCCCTGGTGGGGTCTAGGGTGCGGAAACCCCAGAATCTCAGGGGTTTTAGGCATTTGATTACGGTCAAATGAACATATTTTTATACCTTATTTGTGACACTGGCAGGAAACTGATTTGCGTGAGGTCCAGCGGGCGGAGCCCCCAGAAGCTCAAGGGTTCTAGGCACCAAATTGCGGTCAGATGAGTATAAAGGGGCCCACCTTAGAGCCCTTAGTTGGGTCCCGGGGCAGAGCCCCTGTAAGCTCAGGGGTTTTAGGCGTTTAATTACGGTCAGATTGGCATTGTTGATACCATATTTTGTTTTTTCTTTCTTGCTCTCTTTCTTTCTATTTCTCTTTAATATTCTTTTTTTAAATATACGGAGGGGGGAGGAGGGAGCTGGAAGCTCCCGATCCCCGTCGTTCCACGGGCCATGACATGTAGGCATCTCAAGAGGCATATTTATTGCCTGGCTGTAAATTTAGGAATTTGTCATTTTACAACAAAAGCATAACAAAGTATAATTGACTAAAAAATGAGAACAAATCTCGGAAAATGTTGTCATTTCAGCATTATGTGTAAACCACAGTTATGGAATTAGTAATAAACCACGATTAAATTTTTTTCCCCGAGCCCCCCCCCCCTCCCCCTTCCCCCAATCTACACTTTGTTGGCGGAAAAAATCGCAGCCGATCTCCCCTTCCTTTCTTCTTTCTCTTTTTTTCTTTCCCTTTCCCTTCCCTTTCCTTCCTTCTCTCTCTTTTAGGTTTGCTGGCGGGATTAACCGCAAATGATCTATTCCCCTTCTTTTCACCCTTTTTGTTCTCTTCCTCTTTTCGGTCCCTTTTAGCTCTCCTTTTTTCATTTTCCTTCCTTCTCTCTTTTTTAAGCGGGAGCGGGGGGAGGCAAGGGCCTTTTGCCCCACCCTACCCCGATCCACAACTTGTTGGCGGGAAAATTGCAACTAATACCCCCTTCTTTTCTTCTCTTCTCCCCCAATTTACTTCCCTTTATCTCCTCTTTTCCTTTTTTCTTTCCATTTCCTTCCTTCTCTCTTATTTTTTGATGGGGGGGGGGGGGGGGGGGGGGAGGCAACAGCCTAGGAGGCGAGGCCCCCCCCGATCTCCCTTCCTCCTTTTCTTTCTTCTTCTCTTCTTTCTTTCCCTTTCTCTCCTCTTTCCCTTCTTTTCCTTCTCCCTCTCTCTCTCTCGCTCTCTCTTTCCCCCTTTTTTTTCCTTTTTTTTTTCCTTCTTTTTTTCCCCTTGTTTTCCTTTTTTTCCCTTCTTTTCTTTCCCTTCTTTTTTTCCCAGGGGGGGGGGGGGGGCGCGGGCCCCGGCCCCCCTGGATCCGCCACTGGGTTGCATTGTTTGCTTGTTAATAGCTGTTGGCTTTCAAACTGATACTTTGACTTGCCAAGTTAAGTCAGGGAGCAGAAAAGTCTAGTATTTGAACATACAAATTCTGGTCAGCCTGAATAGTAGAATAGTATAGACTCGAACCTTGAAATTTTCTTGATTTAGAAATTATAAGGTTTTTTTAAGAGGGCTCCCTATTTGTTGTCTGGCATTTATAAGAGTGCAACCATGCAGGGAGGCAGAGAATGCAACCAAAGTGTCAATCAAGGTTCGACGTTTACTCTTTACGCTTATCCAGAAGAAACGGTAATATGGAGCACACCAAACGCATATAATAAATTAGAATATAATTATATGGCCTCATATCACAATCTTACCTGGGCTAGTCTGCACTGGAGTCTTCTTTGTGGTCTTGTGAGTCCTGCTGATTAGGTAGATATTTACCTGTAGGAGATTCACAGTGTATTCTGTTATTGCTTGTACAATAGCATAGGCAGGAACACTATAGCAATACAAACTGTTTTTCATATAATACAATTGAAGGAGAGAAGCAACTCAAATGATGATGATAAACACTTAAAAGAAAAGATATTTTCAATTGATTTCAGATATCCTTGTTTAAAATTAAACTTTTAAGGCCCGGTGATAATTAAAGCATTGAAGCATAGGCAAACACGTGATTTCCAAATCAAATGCTCGACGAGTTTAACTCACGTACATAACAGTGGAATCGGTAGTAATAGAGGTATAGAGGTTTTAGAGTTAATAGCAGCATCAGTAGGAGTAGATATAGAAGAATAAGAAGTGGTAGTAGGAGAGGTATTTGTAGTAGTAGTAGTACAAGTAGTAGGAGGGGTTGATATGTTGTAGTAATAGTAGTATATGTTTAGTGGTACTAGTAGTAGTAGTTGTTGGCATAATCGTACTAGTAGGAGTATACTAGTATGTATAGTGGTATAAATAGTAGTAGTAAAGCTCGTAGTACTACTAGTAGTAGGCTTAGTAGTATCACTAGTAGTAGAAGTAGTAGTATAACTAGTAGAGTATCTTTAGAAGTAGAGTTAGCAGTAATGGTAGTAGAAGTAGTAGTAGTTGTTGTATTTTTAATCATAGTAGAAGTTATAGTAGAATATAGTTTTAGTATTAGTAATAGTAGCAGTATGCCTATAAGAGTTGTAGTTTATTAATTGTATTTATTTATTAGTCTGTTTTTAGTAGGGTGGCTCCATCAGTAGTTCAATACTGTTTTCCGTGGAGGCCCTACAACATAAATACACAATTTACAAACATATTGATGTAAACAATCCAAATCGAAACAAAATGAATTAGGTTACAACATTTTCGAACAAAACAAAAGAAACAAAAACAACACAATGGACCAGTTCAATGATTTAAATTATTATAACGCCAAAACAAAAGATTAAATAAAGAATTTGATGGCGCATTTCTTAAACAATTAGGTAAACTATTCCAAAAAGCCGCACCATCAAATGAAAAACTTTGTTTTCCCATTTGGGTTTTTATTTTGGGTAAAATTAATTCTGCGTTTTTGGTAGGTAGTAGTAGTAGTAGTAGTAGTAGTAGTAGTAGTAGTAGTGTAGTATAGGTAGTTGTTATGGTAGTAGTAGTAGTAGTAGTAGTAGTAGTAGTAGTAGTATAAATAGTAATAGTAGAAGAAGTAAATAGTAGTATAGAGTTGAAGTAGTAGTAGCAGTCAGGCGTGGTAGTAATAATGAGAATACAGCATTGTTTTATATGTTCAGGAGTCTATCTATAAATTAGTGTTACGGAACGATATAGCATATCAAAATAATAATTTCCCCGCTTTATTCAGCTAGGGGCCGACAATCCATGATAATAATAGGAAGTTTTCCCACTCGATTTTTTTTTTAGGTTTAGGGGATGCATGTGGCTACTTGTAAACTATACGCACATTTCCTACAACGATTTATTATTGAAAATCACTAGGGAAAGACGTTTACTTTTAAAAATTGTGAGCAAGATAATAAACCGCTTGATTCAAAGCATGAAACTTGTTCTCATAATATTATTGGCAGTATTATAGGACCTATATATACATGTATTTCTATGAACCCAGTGTAATTCAAAAAAAGTTTTACCTTCTGATAGTCTTTCACCTAATTCACCAAATCGTAATTCATGAAGTTTGCTCGCTAGTATGGAACGCGTTTGGGTGCTGTCTCCTTGGTTGTTATTCCATTTGATGAGGAGCTCCACCAGAGCTTCGTTAACGTTGTTGAGATGTTTGACGATGTTTGATTGACTTACGGCGTATGAATACCCAAGAGCGTTGCACAGTTTAGAGTATTTGCCCGGACCTATGTCTTCAGCTAATGATATCAGCTCGATTTCCTGCAAAGGCTCCATAATGCTATGGAAAATCATAATATAGACAGAATACATTATGTGATATAAACTCCATTTCCTGTAAAGTCTCCATAATAATTATAAACAGACAATACATTATCTTTTTTTTTAAAGCAAAGATTTATGGTACTTGATCCAAACATCGGTACATTAAAGCAAGAAAGGTGCATACCTTTATTATTCAAATTGCAGCAGCAAATCTTACACATTTTCAAACATTCTTTGCAAAGCGAATATAAAAATATCACCGTGACCAAAAATTCATGTTAAGATACAAATAATTCCTATTCAATGTCCTTATCACATCATGATCATATATATGGCTTATACCCAGTGAATAAGATCGATCTTATTTACTGGGTGTAAGCCCCAAATATGTTCAAATAATTGAAATTTCTCCCAGGAAGCATTACATTTAATATAACTTTTATCAAAAATAGCAATTATAAACTATAATTGTATTTTGGAAAGCCCTATAATTATCAAGCCAGTTAATGATCAATTCGTAACAGTAGAATACAGAATTCAGCAGTGGATACTCTCAAAACGCATATCAAAGTATAGCGGTACTATAGAGTATACTATCTGAAATAAACTAGATAAAGTTTGGTGTAAGTCAGTTGCGTAGCTCCAAATAGGGGGGAGGGCAAATGGCACATGCATGTATTCAGTTGTATTGCGAGAGAGAGAGAGAGAGAGAGGGAGAGGGGGAGGGGAAGAGAGAGAGAGAGAGAGAGAGAGAGAGAGAGAGATGGTGGGCGGTTTGACTCCGGTTCAAATTCAATTTTCTTTCAGATCATTCATCATGTTACTAATGAATTTATGTGTCATGCGATTGCCATGTGACGTGAAAATAGTACCACAATAACGTGTATCGTCATCAAAATATTCAAATAGTATTGAAGAGACGATGAACAAAGAATAATAATATTATTCGTTTGGGAAATATTCTTTTATATCTCACTCTTTCTCTACTAAATCCACCGAACAGTGAAATCAACAGAGCGGCGTCTAATGCGACACGAATTATCATGAGTCAAACCTGACAAAGGGAATTGCCATGTCATTGGTTGAATCAAAGAGTAGCCAATGGGGAGCGAATATTGTTTACATTGAGTAATCTTGCCTGTTTGTAAAAAGCCAGTTAAAAATATTGGCAGCAGGCATGAAATACTACAGGAGCACGACCTTTAATTAATTGCACTGGAATTTTCTAACTAAAGTGAAAACTGGATGACCCTTTGTTTTTTGAGAAAGGTATTAGAGATGTAATATTTAAAGTGAGACGCATTTACCTTACAATGAAAATATGTCATATAGACGATATAAATATTATTCTAACTGTCGGTCAAGTGAATCTAGCAGACTGAGAGGAGGATTAGGAGTCCTTTTTAAACAACCTCTTGTAAAGGGAACTACCATTATTGAAAGAACCTGTAGTGAATATATGTGGCTGAAGCTCAGGCAAATTAATTGTTCGGCTTTAAACATGATATTTATATATGCCTAATATACACACTACCTGCCAATTCATCATAAACATTGAGAATACCGGTATGTTGGCTCAGTCAGTAGAGCGTCCGCCTCACAACCGGGAGGTCGTGGGCCGCGACATACCAAAATACGTTAAAAGACGGGAGTTTTTATCTGACCCTAAAAGCACTCATTTTGTTAGGCGACAATGGGACATATAAAGGAAGGTACACTTATCAAGTTATATCGAAGGAGAAATCCACTTAGAAAGGAAAAGGGACACGTGTCAAAGTAAACAGGACATATATGAGAGAGGTGAACATAACCACGTCTCCAACCTAAAATGGTGCACTTAAAAGTAGGGGTGAGGGAAATTTATTACAAAGTTAAAGGGGCACTTTTTATGCCTAAAAAGGCACTCAGATATGTAAAGGGGCCTTCATTAGAATGGGAAATATATAATAAAAAGGAAAGGGGCATTTATAAAAAATCAGAGAAGCACTTGTCAAAGTTAAGTGGCACTTATCAGATTTTAATAGGGCCACGAACATGTATGAGAAGGGGGGAAGGGGCACTTGTCAAAGTAAAATGGGCAACTATCAGATTTAGATAGGACTCTTACCAGAGGTGAAAGGGGGGCACTTATGAGAAGGGAAACAGGGGCATATATCAAAGTCATAAATAAAACATTGGAAATAGAATGTGCAAGACATGAATGTGATCAAGCAATCAAGATGTTCATGTTAATCCTCCAGCACAACTAACCCATTCATAAATTTGAAGACAATAATTAATGGCATTTTGCCTATCATCAAGACAATAAACCCAAGGGATAAAAATGTATTTGAAACGCCTTCAAATGAAGATCTATATTTACCTTATTGACGTTGATATAGTGTAAAATATTTCATCACTAAAATGTACCAGTGGCGGATCCAGGGGGGGGGGGGGCCCGACCCCCCCCCCCCCCCTTGAGAAAAAAATCATGTAAATCACGTGATTTTTACCTTTTTGGGGGGTTGCTTGCGCTCAAGGGGGGGGGGTGCAAATTGAATTTTTTTTGAGGATCAAAAAAAAAAAAAAAATGTGCTCATTACCACCCTCCCCCCCCCCCCCCCCCCCCCCCCCCCCCCCCCCCCCCCCCCACTGATTGACTTTTCGGCGCGATTTTCAAATTTTCGGGAGCAAAAAAAAAAAAAAGTTGGGCCCCCTCCCCTAAGAAATCCTGGATCAGCGCTACAACCAATCGACAGTTCCCTCTCTTGTTTGTTCGCTAAATTCAATCAACTGAAATCTTGTTAGACCGGTTTACAATGTATTGTCATTATTCGCACTTTCTTCGTCTCTCTCTCTCTCTCTATGTCTCTTTCTCTTTCTCTTTCTCCCTTTCTCTAGTTTTTTCTCTCTCTTTGTCCTTTCTCTCCTCTCCTCTCCCACTATTTCTCTATTTCTGTCTTGTATTTCCTTTATTCAATTTTTTGACAATGTGATAATTACTCATTAATAATTTTGACCAATATGTATAGGTCATTGACATTCACCAATGTTGAACAGTATAATAACGAATCCATAATGGCATTCGTATTAATGTATCATTTTACATTTCCGTATTATGTGCATTTTACTTTTACAATTTTTTTTGGTCATAAATTTAACTCTCCTTTTTTCTTCTCCTTTTCCTTTCCATCTTCCTCCCTTCCACTTTTCAATATTTATTTCTTCTTTCTTCTCAATTCACTGACAAACTGATTATCACCATTATATATTTTACAAAAAGTTTTTCCCCTTTTTTGCGTACATTAAGTTATTACTGAATTTTTAAATCAACTGTTTTTAATCCATTTGTATATGATACAATGAGAACAATGTATTTAAACTTATTACTGAATTTTAAATTAACTGTTTTTTAATGCATTTTTATATGATACATTGTGAGCCAATTATTGTTAGTCTTTGGACTTTTTATTTTGGTATATTTGTAATAAAACCGAAATTGAATTGAATTGAATTGATACAAACATTCTATCTTGCAAATATCACGTTTTGATACTCACTATTGTTAATCGTTCACTTCAAAAGACCAGTCAATTACAAACCTAGGACAACGTTAACAAAATGAGGCCTTAACTTCATCATCCCTGTTTTCAGTTTGTTTATTTATTGTAAGATTTGGGATCTGTAAGATTACTGTCTGGGATAATGTACACAAACATGTAAATAAGTGGCGTAGCCCCAAACGTTGTGGGGTAGGGGGCGGACTCCACTACCCAACAAAAGGGCGTGTGCATTTCTCCGATTATATTGAGAGAGAAAGAGAGAGAGAGAGAGAGAGAGAGAGAGAGAGAGAAAAAAGGAGAGAGAGAGAGAGGGGGGAGGGAGTAGAGGATGGTCCGGCTTCAACTCAGTTTCGTTTCAAAATATTCAACCTGGTTCTGATAAAAATATCTGCCATGTTGCGATACAAACTGGTACCACAGTCTCGTTTATTGTCATACAAATATTCAAAAAGTATTGAAGAGACGATGAAAAAATATCGTCGGTATCGTGAGAATATGCGTTTAGCTCTCTGCTAAAACCCCCGAACAATGGAATCAACAGAGCGAAATCGAATATGACAAGCTGAACGAATGAATTGCCACGTCATGGTTGTATTAAAGAACAGCAATGACCAACGATTGTTGCTCAAAATCATCAACAATGCGAATATTGCTTTCCCCTAAAAGGTACCATGGGATATTGGGCCATACTCATTCAAATTAAAGTTTGTCGGGGCAAATAAATTCAGAAATAAAGTAAAGTAGAAAAAAATAATAACTTTGAAAATAAGAATACTTAACAACGTCTTACAATATACAAACTGATGATATAAAAACGAATTTTAATACTAACAAATTATACAGACTATTTGCATTTGTTTACAAGTCATGATGTTTTTCACAAATGTCTTTTTGCAGAATTCCGAAAACTATTTCTAGACCTTGTCAATCCTGTTAATCCAGATAATCTACTCCATTTCACTGCGCACAAAATACATTGAAAATTTACATTGTGTCGTCTAAGTTTTGGAAGATGTAAATGAAGACCGTTTTTTTTTAAATCTTATAAAGTACCTATGCTCGATAATTCCAGAGTGACCTATTAGAATATGAGGCATATTGAGGTTGTATACATGCCTTATATAATGATATCAAAGTACGCCTTGGATCATAATTTTGCAATCTAAATAACACTCCAACTTTCCTTACCATACACTGATTTACAAAACGAATATGAATATTCTGACATGTGTAAATCATTGTTTAAACTTAACAAAACAAATGACATCAACCTATTTAATTAACTTCATCTACTTTTAGTTTACCATTAATACCTATGTCTTGTTCCTCCTACCTCTTATTAACTTGAAATTAGCTTTCATTAATTCAGTTATAAGTTTGATTCCGATGCACCGATTTCGCATAATCTGTTTGTTTTTATATACTTTATTTACATTATTTTGCCCTAGACATCTGGGAAGATATGTAACA